TGGTCCACCAACACCTTAGCTATTGTCCAGAAAGCCCAAATTACTGAATCCTATAATAATTAGAGAGAGAGAGAGAGAGAGAGCGCCAGTTTGGTGTAATGATTAAGGCATCAGTCTAGAAACCAGGAGACCATGAGTTCTAGTCCCACCTTAGGTGCAGCACCTTAGGTCCCACCAGCTGGGTGACCCTGGGTCAGTCACTCTCTGTCAGCCCCAGGAAGGAGGCCATGGCAAACTACTTCTGAAATTTTGCCAAGAAAACTGCAGGGACTTGTCCATGCAGACTCCAGGAGTCAAAAACTGACTTGAAGGTACCAGCCCCAACCCCCCAATGATTAAATACTGAAAACTCTGAAGAACCATGTTTCCTCTCCTCTCCCTCCATCATCATCCCTTAGAAAAAGGGGAAATGCGTCTAAATATTTCTCCTAAAGGTAAAAGAGCACCTTTAAATACTGAAGGTTAAATAAACTTTCATTGAACTCTCTTTGAGAAGGACATGCATTCTTAACTTTGTACAATAAGTTAAACTATTTATATAACCTTTCTTTGAAATGCTAGCATCTATTTCTGTTAACTAGTGTCCACTAATCCTGTCAATATATTTTACAAACAGGGTTGCCTTTTTCTATTTTTTTAAATTTTTGTATCTATAGCCTTTTGTTTGTTTGTTTGTTTGTTTAAACAACTTCTACTGAAAGCTGTTACAACTCATCAAACAGGTATTTAGCAACTGTCAAGTAAGTCACTTTCAGAGTTTGGTATCTGTTCTGTTTTGCCTAGGGGAGGAGGAAGCGGTGGTGGTGGGGTGTCAAAGAGAAAATATTCTCAGGTGAAAAGTTAATTGTAGAAAGAGGGAGAAATGTTGCTTCATCTACAAGTTTCTCTTTGTTTGGCCCATCACAACGTAAGTTAGGATAAACAGAACAAATTTCTTTGTGGTCACAGGTGAAGACAGAAATGGAATTCAAGTGTTTCTGTGTGTATAAACATGTCTACTGTAGCAAAGATAAATACATAGTTCCAGTTGACCAGAATTGCCAATCAATTGAACTTTTAACAAAAATCTAGAAGGAAGGAAGAAAGAACACTGAGATCTGAGACTTACAAAGGAAAAGGAACTATGTTTGCTTATTAATTGTTGAGCTCTTGAATGTTGTGTTATGGAATCCAAGCTGTACTCTTGGCAACATAAAATATTGAACTGGGTTGTTTCAAACGGTCTTGGGGATTTTTTGCCCTTTGTATCACTGTAAAGTAGAGGAAACTTAGCAAAACTTCAACGGGCCTATTGCTGGTCCAGTATTATGCCTCGGAATGGAATGAAATTGCACAGAGAAATTAGAAGCTGAACTCTCTGATCAGCAAAATAAATTGAGGTATATGTGGCCTAGTAGTAGCACATAAAAATGATGTAGCATGCCAAGGGGGGAGCTTATAACAGGCACCAGGTTGTCTATTCTTTCTTCAGCTCCTTTAGCCAGAAGGCCAGTGGTCTCCCCCTCTCCCTCTCCTCCCCTCCCCAAATACTTGAGTGATCAGCTGAAAAAGAAGCAACTTCCCCATTCTTTGCTTCTAGGAAGAACCTGGGGAAATAAAAAGTGTTTTGGTTTGTATATACGTGTGGGCCTATTTAACATGGCTCTTTTAAGCTGTTTTAAGGTTTATATAGTCAAAAAGTAGAAGGTACAACTTGAGGAGAAAATGTATTAAAAGTAATTTAATTTAGCTGTGCATTCTTGTGGAATTCTCCCCAGCTGAAATGTTTTAAGAGACGAGGCGAACAATTTTCCTCTTACTTTAAAGCTGTATAATCAGACTAAGAGAGGAAGAGTTGCCTTCAAGTAGCCAAAAGTGAAGATGAGGTTTGAGTTCATATAATCCAACATTTGCAATCAAAGTATGTGTTTGTTGCTCTAATCCACGTTTTACCGCATGGTAGCATATAGCTGATCTTAGTGGAACTGAAAAGAAAGCTAAGCAGGGTTCAGCCCGGTCAGTGTTTGGGGGTGACACTATTCAATTTTATAGGCTAGACTAGGAAGTTAAGAAAAAAATCCCTTAGAAAGCCATGCAGATCATTTTCCTATTCTTGTTAGGGAGGTGTCATTACCAACAGCTGAACTCACTTGAAAAGAGATTTTTATAAACCACCCTGTCAATCACTTTATTTTTTTTTTAAATGTTTTTTTCACAGGTGGAGTTTGAATGGTTACGACAGTTTTGGTTCCAGGGTAAACGATACAGAAAATTTACTGACTGGTGGGACAAGCCAATGGCAGATCTGGAAGAGCTTTGGAGACAAATGGAGCTCATGGTATGTTTTGATCAATGCTTTATCCTCTCGGGACTGCATCCTGTATTGCTATTTACTGTTGCTACCAAATCATTAAATAACAGGCTGAGCAACCTATAACCACGTGGCCTCAAATCATGCCTAGACTTCATCCTTGAAATTCAGTGGCCAAAATACTAATTTTTCCATTTTTTCCCTCCAAAATAAGAGGTAAACTAGTCAACTTAAGCTTCTTTGAAGTTTAAGGAACCATTACAATGATTTAAACCCACTAACCCACCCAGTAACCCAAAAGACAGGCTGAACATTGCTTTCCGCCATACAATCTTGATGCCAACTTTTTAAAAAAAGTTCAGTGTCTGGTCATAACCAAATAATCTGTCCCTCTGGAACAGTATCAGAGCATTAGGAATGTAACTGATTGGAACCATCATGAGGGACACTCTTTACTCTGCCCTGTGAGGACATCTTGATGTCTTGCTGTGTTAGAAGGCCACCTGCCACATCTCCATGGGGAGGCTGAATCGGACCTATGGAAAATATGCTACACCAGTGACCTGATTTCAGTGGAGCTCATCTTTTGCATTTCTGTATAGCACTGGGGAGTTGAGAGAGACTTGAGATCTCGTCCATCCTCGTACACAGGTTTTATAATAGCTGCAGTGGTTAGCACCTTTTAAGGCAGACTATGTCCCTATTCCAGAACACATAGGAAGCACCCCTTTCCTCAGCACAGGACTTCAGATATCTGAGTCTTCCTTTTATCTTCTCCAGAAGACACCTCAGCACTCTTGCTGTATTCCCCTCCTATCAACAGAAGACCTAGCCTGATTTGTGCCTTGTGTGAAAACCGAGCGTGTCTATGTATTGTTATTTTTAAAGTAGGGGTTGGTAGGGTGGGTTTTTTTGCCCTTGCTTATTCCAAAAGTAGCCAGTGGTCTTTGAATCCAAGAGCAGCGCGCAGAATGGATTTGTCAGTGTCACAGCTGTCAAAAGTTTGGAAAACACTTTTCCAAGGGGTTCAGCGTTGG